AGGCATAATTTCTATTATTAGTATTAGTGCGGCTGTTGTTTTTGTATCTTTACACATCTTCAGTTGAGAGTCCTCCACTTTATCCTTGTTACTTTTCACTTAACCAACAAAATCAACATGACCAGTTTAATACATTTATATTTAATGTATTATATAATATTGCAAAATACATTATTTTTCCTCCACTGAATAAATATTTGGTATATTCATCTGTGGGGCAAGGATCAGCATGATTTTCAAAATCTGCATATAGAATTGGCAGTTTTTTATTATATCCAACCATTTAGGAATCACCAGCTGTTTGTTCATCCACATGGGGAGCACAAGGAAAGGCAGACAGACCCCATGTTAAAGCTTATGTTATAAGCTCTGCAGCAACATCCAGTAGATACTAAACTGACTGACAGGGTGGTGTGTCCATTACCATCACCATAAGCCTGAATGTGCCCAGGAAGTTACAAAGGTGAAGGACACACTAATCCCATTCATACTCCAGGTAGCACAGAGCCCATTGTGTGCCTCCACGTGGGGAATCACAGGTACAACTGGTTGGGCCGTGATCAGGGCACGAATTTGCAACTTTTAGATCTGTTAAGAGTGGAGCCACTCAGGAGCCCCAACATCGATCTGTATTCCTAAACGACTCTCTCCCTTATTGCTTTACAAAGCCTCGGTGCATTTAATCAGCCTGCACCTTTCCCCATCCTTGGCCAGCATACAGAAAAGCTGAATATCTTTTCAGACTCCGCTGTGCTGCAAATTGGTGAAAACGTGACCCTCCCTCGCCACATGTGCTCAGTTTGTTAATGAAATTTCTTTCCGGTATAAGCTTCCCTGAAAGATGTCTGACCATCCCATTGTCTTCTAATTCCTTTGTAAATTAATCCTCCCGGCCCTCCCTCTTCCCCCACGCCTTCACTCACTGCGATTTCTAGTTTCATACCGAGTGCTTGCAGCCATTCCGTCAATCAAGCTGCAAAGGGATTATTTGATGACATCTCTGCTCATTGACCCAACCGCTCTAAAAGGATACATAAAAATAACATCCTAAATCCTAAGACAGAACTGCTGTGCGGTCTCTTCATTTCGGCTTTACTCACAGTCCACGGGGCCCCCAAATGGTTTTTCATTGAGAATGCCAAATGATATTCACCGACGACGGGTTGCAATTAGCAAACAGTTAAGCTGCCTTGAGGCGTATCCACCTGTGAACTATCAAAACCTGCTTTACCCTTGACTTCAAGAGCTGTACAGTAATTCTCAAATGTAGAATAAATGCTGACATCTTAGTAAATCCATAAATTGAGTGGAATTATCTGTATGCCAGTGTTTTGAAGGGATTAAACACCATTGACTCGTACCAAGCCATTGAAAAACTTGACTGAGCAAAAACTTTAAAAGCTCTAAATCTTTGGCAGTAATATATATTATATATTTATTTATTGTTTCACTATATGTATCCTGGTCTGAAGGATTACTGCCAGAACATTAAAAGTCTACAAAAGTTTTGTCAACCCCACAAAATATGTTTTTGGAATAAACAGGTACTCTTTGCAAGTCTGGACAAATTGTATGAACTCTGTATGTACAGTATATGTTGCTATAAAGGTACTAAAGAATAATATGGTACATAAAAATTGGATGAACTCTTTAATATAATTAAATACAAATTTAGCTTTATCCTGCTTTGCAAAAATTGTATGAGACAGATAGGACTGATCCTTTTTTTCCAACATCAAAAAAGATTTCAAATATTCTGCACACACATTCAGTGATGGTCAATAGACTTGTGGTGACTCTGGAAGACTATATGAAGATTTGTGGGAAGATTTAATCATCACCGGTCAATGTCATCCTGAGGTGGGGTTGATATAAAGCTCTGTGTAAACGCAGCTGAGATCACAGTCAATGTGAGTGGTTTCTCCTAGCAACTGAATCACTAACTGTTATTCCCACAGAGAAAAAAAGTCAATACAATGTTTTGTTTTTCCCTGGTTACATCCCTGAATGATAGCCCATAAAGAAAAGAAAATACAACCCATCATTTAAAAAATAAACCTGTAGAATGTGTTCTCAGAGCAAGTATTGGCTGTACAGATTCATGTATATAATATATCTTATTCATGTATATATTGTTAAGTGTTAAATTCCACTTGTCTCCTCCTGCCAAGGATGATAGTGAAACAGGACGTGAAAATAAATGTGAAATGTGAACATACCGTGAAGGATAGGGTGTTAACATACACTGATAAAGGCATGCCTTTTGCAGCTAAAGGGCATGAACCTTTCTTCACAGTGCGCTTGACTTCATAGTCTGTTATGCAAAATGATGTTTATATCCATTTACGTCTGAAAGTATTATGGAAGGGGCTGGAAACAAGAATATAGTAAGAACCATAATTTCTGCAGCCAATTATCCATTTGCCCTTCAACTGCACAATGTGCTCTTTTCTATCAGCCTTTTACCCAGCTCTAAGTTTATACATTTTTCACAAGACATGATAAAATGTACCTTATCAAAAGTACATACTTCAAATTGTGGACTGAGTCCCAGTGTTTAATAGCCTAACGTCTGGATTCTTCTGAACAAAGCTAACCATGCTGCCAAACAAACTGTTTTTATTCTTATTAATGATCAACTCAGTCCAACCTCCTCTTATTTGTATTCAAGTTAAAAAAACAATGGCACACGTGTTCTGAATCTAGCATATTATTTTTCCCATATTTGTTAGGTTTACACCAGTGGTGCAGATCACCAGAACTGGAGGGTCACTGTCTGAGGGTTTGTCTTCCAGCACTGCACTTCATGACTGCATCAAACTAGTCAGTAATTTGACCAGTTTAACACTTCAAAGGTTTTAAAGAGCCCAAGACAATATGATGGAGTCCGGCCCTTATGGAAGGTTGTTCATGATTATTTAATCATGGGCTGCAGTTCTGTAGGCATTCATTCAAATAAAAAAAAAATCATATATGGTTTTCACTGGAAATCAAATGATCAAGATCTCTGTTGGGACAAAACCAACTGACACCAGGGTCATGAGGAACTGACTGTAGAACTATACTAAAGAACTCTGCTCAAATTTACTTTAAGGATTAATGTGAGACAGCTTACTAAAGAGGCAGTGAAATTATTTTGAAGTATACAAATATTTCAGACAAAAACACATATTACAAGGTCAGATCTGTCTCTCTCTTAGAATCATAAAGTAAAATATATAAAAATGTCAAGGTAACTCACACACTGGGGAGCATATATGCACAAATGACCAGCCCTGTTACCACTGAGAAATTAGTTTTACCAATAAAACCTAATTTGGGTTGATAATGTTATACAGCAGCCTGCTCTATGGATGCAGTAAGTATATTCCTATAGACATCACGCAAACAACTGTTAGAGTTGAAGTGAAAGTGTTGCGCCTGGGTGAGCTAGCCCTCAGTGTCCACCGAAATAGAGCTCTTTAGTATAATCCCTGTGCATTCTCACGAGGAGCCACATTCACGTAAGAAGTCAAACACCTCCTGGGGCTGTAAGGACATACAGTAATTACTCAGGCCACGTGTCCCTACCACCTGCCTCCAATTAATTGATTAATCTATTAGTCTAAGATATCGAGACCCTGGTTATGCCACTGATCAGGTGCTCTGTCATTGAGTTACCTTCTGACCAGAGCAGTACCTGCGGCACAAAAAACCCACTTCCTAGAAGGACATCCAGCCAGATGTCAGCCTGAGTAGTTGTCTGTGCAGCCTAGTCTGGATCATTAGGCAAGATCCACATCTCCTGCCTCCTGCCCCAGCATGGTGGCGTAGCCACTCAGTCCTGCTCAGCCCTGACAGCTGTGCTCTGCTTCAGTCTCAGATCAGCCCGTCTGCCATCACCTGTCCCGTTCGGCTATCTCCGCCTGCTTTGCCTGCCCCAGTCTGCTTCGGCTATGTCTCTCAGCTCTTGGCACTCACATTGGGATCCCTCCGCCTGTCAGCAAGATGCGGCTTTCTCTATCTGCTAGCTGTGTTGCAACAGAAAGGGAATGGATCTTGTTTCCAACTTTTGCGATTTGCATCTGGGAGGTTCAACTCTGGGCCTGGAGGTTGTCGTGGCAACGCACCCCTCAATTGGACAGGCTGACAGCTTCTCCCAGCTCTTCAGGCGTAGCTGCTTTAGAGGGATCTAGGAAACCTACAGACACACCTAACCTCCAGGACAAGACATTGGGCCACCCTGAATTATACCAATCAAAGACTTCATGCAGATTGTGCTTTGCAGGTGAACACTTTTAACTTACTTTGGATTTTGCTTTTGAAAAAAAGAACAAGCCAGTTTAACAAAATCAATGAATGGGTTTCTAAGTACATGTACAATTAGAATAGAAATGAAATGTATTCCTATGACTAAATCATAAATGAATACATATATTCAGCGTGCAGAAAGTAAGGTGTCCTGAAAGGACTAACTTACAGAATTGATTGTAGCAGCATGCAATTGGTGCATTCTTCCAGTCTTCATTAAATTCTTTCATTGCCTTCGTGCCTGCCAGGGTCTGATATGACAGGAGTCAAGAGGATTTAGATTCAAAGAGTGGGACCCCAGGGGCAGATTACGTGGTCAATTAAAGTGTTAAAAAAGCAATTAGCATTTCATTGGCTTGCAGGGGGGTCCTGAGAAGAAGGAGGAGGATCAGCATTGAAGCCGCTTTGATTGCAACTCATTTCAAAGCTGACTTTGGAGAAAGAGTCAAATAAACCTATTATTGGATTGTGGTATTGTTTCACAAAAGACAAAAATCAATGACACCCAGGAACAGGTAATCAACAGTTCAAGGTAAAATGCACAACTTCATTTTGCTTTCCCACCAGAAGAAGGCACCAAGAATTCCAAAGATAAGTAGCTGGACAATTTATACAGAGCCTGTAAAAATCATGCACATTTTGTGGTGCTTTATTATCAAATAAGAGCAGACAGAAAAAGTAATGCTCATACGCAATAAGAACACAACTGATCAGTAGTTAGACAGCTGAAGCTGTTGAAAAGGTGTTTATTGTGAACAATGATGGAAACCAAAACTTGAATGATTTTATAAAGTGCTGAAATATACTGTATATTGTAAAATAACAACAACATTCCACTTTCTATTTTTAGGATAAATCAATCCCAGCTCCCTACAACCACAACAGATAGTGTTTGAAAATGTACCCTTTACATTGTTGTTAAATATCTTGGTGATGGATCACCTATAAGGTTTAGAAAAAAAATGCAAAAAACAAAATTTCAAAAGCAGCAAGTTCAAGTGCTTCAATTTTAACAAAAAATGTCATACAGCCCCATAAAGCATATCCAAATGAAACTACCTCACAGACTACATTAAGATGTTTTTTCAAGCAGAATCAAATACAATAGATGTGCCGTAATGTTACCACACAAGTATTTACAACATCCAAAAGCACACCAAATCTGAACTGGATACAACATTCTTTAGTCAAGTTACTGTTCAGCTATACTATTCCCTAATGATGCACAGGTGAGGTAATGAGGCAAAACTGGTTTGTAGTGGGCAGAAAGGTTCTGCGAATGCCCCAAAACACACAACCCCTAATCAGCATGTCTTTTCTTTCCTGAAGGAAATAACTTCATGCCCTGAAGGACTGATTTCCTGAAGGAACAGTCTTCATTTCCAAGAATTTTCAAGTTTCAACTTTTCAGAGTAAAATAAAAGTCAGACCTGTTTTTGAACTAGTCTTCTGACATTGCATTATGGTAATAAAATAACATAAAAAGCCTTGATGAAACTGCTCCAGGAGTAAATAAATGGAATACAGTATGTGAAAATAGATCATATTATGGAATGCTAGTGCAGTTATGGTATTGTATCCTGTTGATTATGTTTATTGTGTGATTGTATGATTTCTGGTTTGTATACAAGTATTTGCTAATTTAAATGCTTGTATACTAACCAGTATACAAAGAATACTTCTTGTATTCCATTGAGAATACTCAAAATAATACTTTTATTCTGATTTTTTATACTGAATCAAAGTTACTAGTCATAAGCATTGCAATGTTTCTGCGTGACGTTCTAAGATTGTAATATTAGAAAATTATTTTGGGTAGACACTTCCATCATGAAAAACAGTTTGTACTCATTTAATCATGATAATGTAAATACAAGTCAAAGTAAAAATTGCTATTACAAACCTGACCGTGATTATGTTTTACTTTACACTAGATTCTTTACACAGTGATCATCTTCTTAGGAGATGAAATATTCAATGTTCCTAAAGAACATTCTACTGTATAAGGGTCATAACCAGTATACAGTATCTTAGGGAGACTGTACATTTCCGTGAGTGAAGCAAACTGTGGCATACTCTTCAACTTATAATGTATTTTTACATGGTACTCCTATGTTCACAACTTAGAAAATTATAAAAAAGAAAAGTAAAAATCTTTATTTAAAATGAATATAAATTGTTATCACTGTAGAGAAAAATACAAAACTAACAAATTACAGAAACCAAGCGACTGTAAATATTTAGTCATTGATCTGATCTAAATTTTGTCTAAGGATCCTTCCACTAACTACAGTATATAAGTTTAGGGCTATGAATTTATCGTTTCATAGTTTACTGACAACAGTCATGCTACATGCTTCTTGAATAGAAAAATATAACTAATAAATCAATTATAACAAATGTAACAAAATCAATTTTAAATTATAATAAAAAATCCGTGCAAAAGTACATTCTTTAACCTATACTGAATTTTCTTAATTCATTGTCATGCTATTTAACTTAAAATGGTCTATAAAAGCTGGCAATTTGTCAAAAATGTTTACACTTTTATGTCACAACATGTTTTAATATATAGATATATAGATTTTGTGCAAAGCAGATTCAGTATCATTTCAGCATTGTTACATTGATGATTTCTGATCATTTTGATTTGGACAAAGTGATGAAACAGACTGTTAATGAAGAAGTAATAATTATGAAACAAAGAATATGACTAGATGTGTAAACTTTCCACAGTGCAGAATCCAAAAGACTCGATTACATCCAAACCTTCAATGATTTTTGGCAAACAGTTACCTTTAAATATTTTCTTCCACAAGTGCAGTAGTGGTTTGAAGATTAAGGTTAATTCCCCTTATGATACATAAATACATCTTAATCACAACTGTTTTTTTTTATTTTGTTTTCCAATTAGGACAATAATTATGAGGGATGTAACTGCTGCACTAACCTAAGTCTGGTGGCATACACTCAAAAGGGTCCACAATGGGCAAGATGGGGCTGGCAAAGTGATCTTCCAGCCATTGGCACTAAATCAACTGTTATACATCATGTATAAAAAGAAAACAAAAGGAAATATAGCACCAACAAAACAACAGAACAGAATAAAATGAAAAGAACAGTAGCTATGAAGTTGTAAATGAAAGCAGACTTGATAGCTGGTCTTGGCACTAAAGACTAAAGGACATGGTGCCATTGTGAGCATGTCTTTCGGCGCTCCGAATGACTATCTGCTGGATGGAGACGTAGGTCCCAGCTACGAAGCCTATGAAGCCGATAATGCTGATGACGACGTTCTTGGTTATAACCCAGTAGGACAGCCCTTCCCTGTGGAACGTTATGATCTCCAGCATCGGGGGGAAGATCAGAGCTAAGAAGCTGCTGCTGATGGAGCCCACAAGCGAAATCACCAGGTCCAGTTCTGGAATCAGGATGGCTAAGGCACCTAAGAAGAAGACAAACGCACAGAGGGTTATACAAATCCCAGAAGAACAGGAAATAACATACAAATGACATTGTTATGTCGAAACATCAGCGAGCAGTTAAAACTGCACGTGCATGGTATGAAAGCAATCTGAGTTGTTATCACACCCAACATGTAAAGGACCGTAATCAGCTGAAGTTCGTATCTTCAAAAGGTATGGACAAAGTCAACCCAACTGACTTCCTCAGGATCAATAGTTAAACCCAAACCACAAGTGGATTCGAAGGTGAAGTGCATTTAAGACTGAGAACCGGAAGCAGTTCTACACAAAGGGTTGTGGTCATTTAGAGCAAGCTGCTCAAGCACTTTAATTTGACTTCCTTCCAGAAATGGATGGATGAAATCCTCTGATCAATTTCCAACTACCAACCAAAGGAGCTGGACAGCTGAAAAGCCTCCTTTCTATTGCTTTGGTGCTCAAAAAGCAACATTTCCAGTAAGGTAGAACATGTAAAAAAATAAATATTAAAACAATTCCTAATAAAATAATTATTATAATAAATAAAAAATACAGAAATAAAAAAGAAAATTGGCAGATCACATTTACCACTTAGAACAACTGCCCGATATTTTCCCCTTTTCCTCAACAGCTTGTTGAAAGGGAAAGTCTGCCCACTGCTTGTGGTTGGGGATACTCTGTTGTGCCAGTCAATTAAGCCTCATTTTTATTTTGTGTGAGCCCATGTTGTTCTGATGTTTGACACTGCAGAAGAATGACTAAGCGGGTGGAGAACACTTCCTAGAGATTAATAGTCTGGAAAGTGGGATGTGAATTAATTATCTGCTGAGGTGATAAAAGGCATCCTGCTGTTCATTGTAAATTGACTGTTTTTTTTTTCTCTGCCCAGACCTCTTGAAATAAAACCACTAACCAAAAAAAACAGCTCTTTATTTACAGAGAGAAACTTAAATACCTCATCACAGGACAACAGAATTCAGTCAAGTCAAAAGGCCACAGAAAAGAGCAGGCTATTCCTTTCACATCCAGTACTGCTTTGTGTGACACTAATAAACCAAAGAGCACATCAGAAACAGACACCTGTGGGTTTTTTTGTTTTACCTCAAACGCACAAAATGTAAACATAAAAATTTAAAAGCCAACAATAGAGAAAGCAGCAGAGTCCTTTGTGAAAGAGCCAGCAGGCAGGCATCTTGGGAGGGAAAAGAAAGAAGGAGAAATGATCTGTGTTTTTAATGTTCACAGCAAGTGAACGATTCAGTGAGGGGCGAAAAAAACCTGAAGAAGGTTCCACAGCTAAAACATTGTGTTTTTTCCTGCTTCTTTTCACTTTGCAGCATGGAATGAACCTCTACTTGTGACCTACTAAAAAGCCTGATTCAGTTTGTTTAAGCAGATGAAAACATGTTTGATACCGCATGGGGAATAATCTGCAAAGAATGAATGGAACATACAGCACAGCAATCCCCCAAATCCATCCCATTGTACAGTTGTCATTTCATTTCTCAACTCACAGAATTAACGTCACAGGGTTACCGAAAAAAAATTTTTCTTTCTAAAAGGACACTGTTGTGTGCCTCATTTCTTGTTGTCATTTCCTTTGACCGAGTCAAGATCTGTACAAAGTTCTTTTCTTCTACTTTGATGACTATGTGTAAATACATACCCACTGTAATGCTGTATGTGATTACATAAAAAAATAAAAACAAGTAATTCAGCAATAACAACAATAATATTTATCATAATGAGCTCTGCATACAAAAGGGTTAAATAGATAATCCTGTGAACCGGTAGGAGTCGCTTATTTTGTCATTCAAAACAGATGAAAATTGGAAGTAACAGTCTGAAGTCGCTTAATGAGAACCCATCACCTGTAGTTTCTTTTGCACTACAGGATACTCCCGACAAGAGTGAACATAGGAAATTCCTTCGTCTGTTTCTGCCTCCTGTGGTTTAATAGCTGTAGCGTTAAAATATTATTCTGCCTCAATTATATGACAGCTGTAGAGACAGCACTAAGCCGGTCTCCTGGAGTATGAAGGCTTTATTAATCTGTGATTAACTGAATTTATCCCTAAATAACACCAAGGGACACTGGTTAAACATTCACTTTTTAGGATTTTTTTAGGATTTCATCTTTTCTTTCCTTTTAAGGATAACTTTTGTTTTAGTTAAAGGGATGCAGTGAAACATGACCCCTAACATGTTGCACCAAAACGTCTCAATCAACTGAGCTGATATATGTTTGTAGAGTTGGTAGAAAATACAAATGAAAAAAGCACAAAAGTACAGAGCAGTAAACAACAAATATCAATCCACAACTTGCATTTCTGAGTCTGTTGAAGTACAGGGACCGTTGTCTGAAATGCAGTGAAATGTATAAACTTGTACAAGTCTTGTATTTCGTACAATACGGTTTTTACTTTTGTACCTCTTTTTACTTTTATTAACCTAGTCTGAGAATGTTCTTAAACTGTAACTATTAACTACAACCATCAAGTTTTCTTTTGTCGATCATTAGTTTTTCAAAAATACCTGCAAAAGATTGTTTTTCATCCTCTGTTTCTGACAGTACTGTTCCTAAAAGAACAGATCAAAGCAAACTACAATGCTACGGATCCAATTAAATTTAAAAGCAAAACATGTTTCTAAATATAATCATGAAACACAATATTTCATTAATACTTGCTTACAATCAGTTCCCTTTAGACGCTCAGCAAAAAAGCTTTTTACAAATGAATTTTACGTCAGCTTTTGGGTGTTTACATATGGCATTCCAGATAACATCTTGTCAATACATAAACATTAGTATGTTTATATACTGTATATAACTAAATAACTCACCTTGCATTGGTAGAATGGAAAATTCTAGAATAATCATGACCTTCAGATTATCTTGTGCCCCTTACTGTCCTTAGCAGTTCTTATAATCACATACTTTACACTCACTGCCAGGTATTTTAAAAGTATAGGTATTCAGCCTTCATCGACTACTTTATCGAGTCATTCCAATCTTTGACTACACTGTACCACCGCATACGTATTTATACACATCTGCAATTCACCTTCTTTGTGTGCTATTGACAACAATGTAATTAAGCCACATCTGGAAATAAAAAGTCATACAATCATACAGTACAATAGCAGATTGATAATGATTTTCAGAGGATAATGATTTATTTGAGGAACGTGGAAGTTTCAAAGGTTGATATTGGAAATGACTTGATTGATCATGTTCTGCAGAGCAGTTTAATGGATTATAGAGACCCTGTATTTGGCTTTATCTCTGTGGCCCTCAGGGCTTGTTTGATAACAGAGCAATGCAGCTCTGAGAATCTGGGAGAAGTGATTGGGATCTGCGATTGTCCCCCCAAGTCTCTCGGGGATGATTTCCTTGCCACATTGATCAATATCAGGTGTCGAATACAGCAATCACAAAGATGGGAACGGAGCTGCACAAAGCTACAAGACATGGTTGTCACCTCATCAAAGCAAAGGCCTCCAACTTCCTTCAATAAAGCTGGGAGTCATTAAAATAGTCTCAGGGACGAAAGCAAGCTGCTTGAAAGGAGCATTCCTTGGTAGTTTCTTTTTGTTTTGAGGTAAATCAAATGCAGAGAAGCACAGTTTGTGAGCGTGGGTTGCCATGGAAGCACAGTGTTGGGCCCATCACATCTTTGAGCAATCCCAGCTTCAAATGGCACAGTTAAATAATCCTCAAGAACAATCACAGGTTATTCAGTCCATCAATCAATAGCTAGAAAAAGTTTGGGACTGGCACAGTTCCATTAAGTTCACAGTGAACAGTGTGCACCGGGGAATGAATGTTGCCGTCTGAGACTGTTTTCACCTGTTTAAATGGTTCCATTTCCATCTAGTGCAAGTTTGACTTTTTCATAGACAGTATGTGTGCTTCTTGAAGAACACAGGAGAGCTAATTAACACATGGGGCAGTGTAAAACTAAAGACAGTGACAGAATACATCAGTATTGGACACTGCATGGAAGAAAACATAAGAAAAGTTACAAACTGGAGAAGATCATTTGGCTCACCCAAAGATGGTAAACAGTCATTACCTCAGTCATAAAGACAGGGTATCAGTGTCAACACTAAGGGATAGTTAGTTCCTGCATCCCACAACCCTTTGTAAAAACTGCCTCCTGTTATCAGTCTTACTGGCACTGCCCTGTAGTTTCTGCTTGTGTCCTCAAATTCATGTGCTAGTGTTGATTTTTAATTACAGATGCAGCCATTCAAAGTTCACGGTACAAACCCATTCCTGTAGGCCCAAGACTCATCTGGTCACTCTATACCGGACTGATTCCAAAGTACCAATGTTTTTTTTCCATCTTGTTGATCAAAATTGTATGTAATTTAGTTTTGCTAGAGCATTATACTATTCTAAATGAAAATGAACATCTCTTGAATTACATTTTACACGCTTGACTATATAACCTAACTTACATATAACCTGCATGTTTATTGCTTCCCTATGCTGTATAGAAAATGTCAGTGATTCTGTATGACAATTTCACTATTTTTCAAAGCAGCTTATTTAAGCTTTTCCATCTTTCATTTAGAATGGATGCTTTTGTCATCTGTATGTAACACTCATCTACACTAAATATTATGTGGCAGGTGTTTGCTTTGTTCTTTTTCATCTTTAGTTTCCTTTGTAGCATTCAGAGGTGGCTAATCCTCCTATTTTGGTATCTGCAAACTGAACTACAGTAGTTTACGAACTATAGCAGGATTCTGTCCATTGATATTAACTAGGATGATTGGTAGTTCTAACACAGATCATTGAGGTACTCCCCTAATTAAATGAAATCTGTATGAGCATTTGCCCCTTAATTGAACTCTGTTTTCTATCCATTAACTAGTTCTCAATCTAAATTCATGCCTTATCATGCTGATTATAATTTAACCTTTTATGAGAAACTTTAGTCAAAGCTCCCTGAAAATCTAAACAAACAATCTCATTTACCCCGTTAATACAGTT